TGGGTTTATAGGAATATTGAAGTCCCCGAGAATTAGGGATGGGATGTTAGAAGAGAGGAAATAGGGTAGCCAGGCAGCAAAATGGTCAAGGAAGAGAAGAGGGGAACCAGGGGGACGGTAAATAACAGCAATGTTAGCAGCGATGGGTTTGAAAAGGCGAATTGAGTGTATTTCAAATGATGGGAAAGAGAGGGAAGGGGGGGGTGAAGCCGCTTAGTAGATTCCCAAGAGGGATTTTTAAAAAAATAATTTTAAAGATCCAGTACTACAAAAGAAATCCCTGGTGGGGATTATTCCACCTACAACACTGTAAGTACGTTTCATTTTACCTTTCACTGCTATTTTTTAAATGGTAAACACTATGGGCCCTCTCTTGTGATTCTTATTTCATAGGACCGGCACTGCAAGCATCGCTAGAGGGATATCCTACATGTGGGGAGTTTAAATACCACTGTATGCTGTTTTACGCAGAGCGGGTTATAGCTCTCCCAATTGTAAGTTGGCACTTTTAGGACCTCAGTGTTGTCTGTTGTTGCAGTTAACCTACATTATTGCACCATTGGGGTTTTATGTATTTTATATGCTGACGCTTATCTGGATTGCTGTAAGAAGTCTTGAGGATACACCTCCAAGTGTCCAGTTATATCCCACATGTGGGGAGTATTAAATACCACTGTATGCTGTTTTACCTAGAGCTGGGCATAGCTCTTTATATTGTGAGTTGGCACTTCTCTACTTCTATGTTGCTCGTGATCCAGCTTTTCTAATACAGTTTCTGCTTTTGTATTTCATATTTACCACTGAGGATTCAAAGCAAGGACAGAAGAATATACACTCCAGGTCTTCACTGTACTTTAAGAGACTCTTTATATTATTGCTGATTTTTGTTTATTATCTCTCATTGTCCAACTTAGCGCACCCTGTATTTGTTGTATCTTGTTCACTAAATAATAATTAAATAACAAACAATGCCATCAATGGAACAACTATATGTATTATTTTATTGCTTCTTATTCTTGCCTATAAAAATGCATGATTTATGTCAAATATATAAATTGTGATTTGTATAATGTATCTCTTTCATTTCATCAAGCGTTACACATTCAACTTGTGAAATTGGTCAATACATTTATATTACTCCATTTCTAGTTGTCTACATTCACGTGTAAGTTTTAGAAATGCCCAACAGAACACCTGGCTTGGGCCTCAATTTAATATTTCGAATACACTTTTCAAATGATTTAATATTTTGGATAAGCTTTTCAAATGTTTATTTTTTTTCAAAATATTAAAAAACAAATATATATATAATTTATAAAAGTGTATTTGTATAAAAATATATAAATATAAAATAATTTAAAAAGTTTATCCCAAACTAATAGAAGCATATCCAAAATTATTAAAATTTTGACTAATAAATAATAATGGACTATTTCCAGTAATACAAAAAAACAAACAAACAAATCTGGAACTGCTAAAAAAATATTACCAAAAAAAATGTATCACCCCTTTTTCCAAGAGAGCAAACACTGAAACATGTGGTTTTGCTGATGTATTTTAGTGTAGGGTCACTATGACAAATATCAAATATGTTTTATGTATTACTCAGTTGAATTAATCTGTTTTGTTCCATTTAGTTTTTGATATATTGGAAGGCGGGGCCTGAAGTTGTGAGAGGGGCTATGTCCCTTAAAAGGGACTCCCCCCTCCTACCTAACTTACCTACTGGTCCTGTACTTCTGGAGCCAATTCCGGGTCCCAGCATGTAAGTATACTCGACAAACGGTCCAAACAGCTCCTGAGCAGACTGATCCCACCGGCCACAATATGACATTTGCCCACAGGAACCATGAATCCACAGACGGGTACTACTGTACACCATCTGTAATCATTCCGGGAATCACCCGACCATAGGGTCCCCGCACAGGAATGTATTTCACTGCATGTGTCACAGACCCCCCCCCCCACGATGCACCGGGGATTGAGGGTCTGAGGTATCCCTTGCAGTGGGGGCTCCATGCCACCACGAGGAACCGAGACCAGGTATACAGACAAATACATTGGCATACCGTCTGTGTAAAACTAAATATTCACATACCAAACAAGGTCACCTGCGGGCATCCCACCTTTCTCCCCCCCACCCCCTCCTCACAGGGGCACAAAGGGGAGACTCACCAAGCTTGTACCGGCGGTTCCCCGGGCGACGGAAGCAGCCACTAGTTCTCACTCTTGGGGGGTGGAGTTATATCAAACAGGCTCCCTCTATCGGAGACGTCGGTCCGGCAACCTTCTAACCCTCTTACAGCCCAACTCTGCATGCAGCATTAGGCAACGGCAGAAGGGCGATCCACTTTGACACACAAGCTCACCACTCTCAGCCATGTGTGGGCCTCATAGAGTGACTGAGCATTACAGTGGCTAAGGGTTTCACAGATTCACCCAGGGCTCTCAAAAGAAGCTCATCCGGACACTGAGTGTTTTACTAGATGGGTTCCAACTCCCGGCTTACAATCTACTAATATACAGTTCTCACAAAGCTTCGTCAACACTGTATTTACACACTTTTGTAAATTTCGCCAGCACATACTGTTCTGTTCCTCCTTGTGTGTAGGGTCTTACCTGCATTTTCTAATTTCATTATTGTCTTTCTCAATGCTGTCATTACATCAGATTGTTATGTATAGATCCAACTATCACTTCTTCACTAATGTTGCTCACATCCTGGAGGTTTGTTTGAAACTGGGACATCAGTCATTACAGCAAGCCAGCGAGACATTATACCTACTATTAAGGCGCCAGTACATCACCTAGTTACTTGTGTTATTCCGTCTACTTTAACAGTCTTGACCATCATTTATCCATAAGTAGAGCCGATCCAGCCACTTGGCAACTAGTAGGGACTCACCTGTCACCAGCCTAACTAATTGTTTCACCACCTCTGCACTAGTTAAACAACGGTATACACCTCTGAAGCAACTCAAGATTCCAATATATATATATTTCAGGATGGCCCAAGTTCCAGAAGGAGATGACAATTCTAGTCCAAGTACTCCAACTAGGACGGCCACCCCTACTCGTAAAAAAGGTCACAGGTAGTTCATGTTCAATTGGAACGTGGACCATCCCACGAATCGCGGCCGAATTACGCAAGGCTACATACCCTTTCCAGCTACTACCCGCAAAGCAGAACTATGTAGGCTAACAATTCAGATGCAGGGGTAGGCACACAGGGCATGAACAATGCCAACCTGCATACCATGATCACCTCTGTAGTAACATCCATGGGGGCAGATCACAATAGAGTGTAAAGACTGGAAGCCCGTAGTTGTCCAGTTGCGACACCAGAACCACTCGTAACCAATTTTCCGGGCGCTTCTCATTCCCAACCCAGTAATACTAATACGCCCATCAATCTCAAGTCATTACCCCAACCCATATGGTACCAGCAAACCTCAAGAAGGACATCCTGGTGGCCAAGGACGTTAATCTCGTCTCGCTTCTCATTGCCTCCCAGGATTTCACAGAGAACCGCTCATACACCTAGGGCTATATCTCAGTGGTCCTTAAGGCCAGTGACACACAACTGAGTAAAATTATCCATCAGGATAGTTAACCTTCATGGTCTTGCGTCAGTACAGACACCACTGCATTCCACAGGTCTCAGCCTATATTCCTGGCAATTGTGTCCTGTACGTCTGCCCTCAGGTCATTGGACTCAGCAGGTATATAGTATATTTAGTTATGACATTTCAGCACCTCTATCATGTTCCCCGTGTAGACCCTACAACGATCATATGTTACGCTGAAAGTTGCTGTATGATATCAGTATGACCATATTTCGATTATGGCTACGATGTCATAACCAGTAACTTTCAACTGATCTACAACTTAAAATAAACCACCAACCCCACCTCATTAAATTCCACTCAGACTTACATTACCTCCCAGTGTTACCTCCACAGGAACTACATTGGGCCGCTCTCAACATCTTATGCATAGTCCTCACACAAAGCCATCTTAGTGAATATATATGTCTTATTGGCAACCCCTCATTTGGGCACTTAGTTCACATATCAGCTGGATAGGAATGTATGCGTAAAGTACAGCTATCTCACAGCGGTCACGAGGTACTTATTCAGTAGTACCCCACCAACAACGCATACCTCAGGCGACACAGGAATTAAGGAATGCATTTTTGAAATATCACTGTAATACGCTAACTCCATGTCCTGTGTTTTCATAATTAACATCTTTGATTACACTATATGGGTATCCCTTTTTGACCACTTATTTACAGGCCTACCACACAAGTCGGTTTCGGCACACCTCTACCGACTTTTTCATTGTTGTAATAAGTATACTCACTAGCTATTTCATACTATACTGAAATGGCCCCTAACATAAATTGGAAGGCGGGCCTGAAGTTATGGGAGGGGCTATGTCCCTTAAAAGGGACTCCCCCTTCCTACCTAGCTCACCTACTGGTCCTGACGTACTTCTGGCCCACCCTCCTCTCCCTCTATTCAATACTCTATTTCATACTATTTAAGGTAGGCCCACTTATTTACAGGCCTACCACACACGTCGGTTTTGGCACACCTCTACCGACTTTTTCATTGTTGTGATAAGTATACTCACTAGCTATTTCATACTATACTGAAATGACCCCGAACACAAATACCATTTGCATGGCCATTTTCTCTGCCGTTGTTTCAGAGTAAGTCTGAAATTGACAGCCCAGCTGCACTCTGGGGAATACATAGTAACAGCTGATGTAGCTAAATAAAATCTGACATCTAGGGGGTGAGGTATTCAACCAATCAGCATAATGGAAGGTCAGCAGCTCACACAGGAAGGCTAAGAGGCATCTATGCTTAAGACTTAAACAGAATCCTTGTAATCCATACCCGAATGAATCAATTTGTCTGTGATTTGCCTGTGGAGTTTTATTCAATGTAACTTCTGGGTGAATCAGTTTGTTCAGATGTGAATTTAAAGGATTTTGATTCAGGTGAATGATAAACTCTCTCCCCAGCATTGCTTTAAGAATGTACCATTCTTTGAAATTTAGCAGACTGGATTGGGATGAACAGGAGTGGCTTCCGATGATTGCATGAACTGATGAGGCCCATTAAGAATTCAGCTATAAACAGGCCACCATACAACAAGGTTTCAAAGGAATTGCACACAAAGTGACTGAAGTTGAAGCTAATGCGTGTTTTAGGTCTTTTTTTGTTTTGTTTTGTTAGTAGTCTCTAGATTTAACTCCTTAGTGACCCAGGTATTCCAGAGATTCCATTATCTCATGCTACCCAGGGGCGTATTAGCCGTGAGGCAAACAAGGCATTTGCCTTGGGCGGCATTTTTCAGAGGGCGGCAAAAAACGCCGCCCCCCAAATGCCCAGGGCAAATGTCTTGTTAGCCTTGCGGCTAACTGACATCCCGAGCGGGCGGGCGGCGCTGGCAGGCGGGCGGCTGGCGAGGGAGCACTTCCTCTGAGCTGTCAGCTCAGCTCCCTCGCGCACCGCAAAGTTAGACTGGGAGCCGGAATATGACGTCATATTCCGGCTCCCAGCCTCACTCTGCAGCCGGCGCGCGAGGGAGCTGAGCTGACAGCTCAGAGGAAGTGCTCCCTCGCCAGCCGCCCGCCTGCCAGCCCGACCTGCAGCCACTGGACCACCAGGGAGAGAGACCCCCCCCAGCACTCCCAAAGGTAAGGAGGTTGGGGGGGGATTTAAATAAAAAAAAAGTTAATGTGTGTTTGTGTCTGACTGTGTGTGTGACTGTGTGTGTGTTTGTCTGACTGTGTATGTGTCTGACTCTGTGTGTGTCTGACTGTGTTTGTGTATGTGTGTGTTTGTGTCTGACTGTGTTTGTGAGTGTGTCTGTTTGTGTATGTGTCTGTGTATATGTCTGACTGTGTGTGTGTTTGTGTCTGACTGTGTGTATCTGACTGTGTTTGTGAGTGTGTGTGTGTGTTTGTGTCTGACTGTGTGTCTGACTGTGTGTGTGTTTGTCTGACTGTTTGTGTCTGACTGTGTGTGTGTTTGTGTCTGACTGTGTGTGTCTCACTGTGTTTGTGAGTGTGTGTTTGTATCTGACTGTGTTTGTGAGTGTGTGTGTTTGTGTCTGACTGTGTGTGTGTCTGACTGTGTTTGTGAGTGTGTGTGTTTGTGTCTGACTGTGTTTGTGAGTGTGTGTGTGTGTCTGAGTGTGTGTGTGTGTCTGAGTGTGTGTGTGTGTGTGTATTTGTGTCTGACTCTGTGTGTGTTGACTGTTTGTGAGTGTGTGTGTGTTTGTATCTGACTGTGTTTGTGAGTGTGTGTTTGTGTCTGACTCTGTGTGTGTCTGTCTGTGTTTGTGTGTGTGTGTGTGTTTGTATCTGTCTGTTTGTGAGTGTGTGTGTTTGTGTATGTGTGTGTTTGTGTCTGACTGTGTTTGTCTGTTTGTGTATGTGTGTGTGTGTTTGTGTCTGACTGTGTTTGTGTATGTGTGTATGTGTGTGTGTGTCTGACTGTGTGTGTGTATTTAGAAGGTGGGGCGGGGGGAAGGGTTGGGTGGGGGTGGTGCAGGGGCAGGGGGGCGCCTGAGTTTTGTCCTGCCTAGGGCAGCACAAAACCAGGATACACCACTGATGCTACCTATATAGCATGTCACAAATTAGACAAGAAGAACCACATTTCAAATATGATGAGCACTGTTCTAGTTCTTTAAAAATATTGCTTTTATTGCGGCATATTTCTATACATTCTGGGGATGGGGTGCCATTAAAAAAATAGCTTTAGGTTAATCATAATATATCTGGTGTTTTTTAAATGGAGTATTACTGTTGTTTCTAAATTTTAAAACTTCTCAAATGCCATGTTTAATCATTAATGTAATATAGTCCAAAAAAAGGACGTAGAATTAGACACTAAGATATCTAAGAGGCAATGACTTATCAGGTGGGCAGTCAAATTCATGCCAGTAACAATTTAGAAACTCAACTCAAAGTTCCTATAGAGATTAGTTAGCCCGTGAGATGGTAGTACAGAGGGATTACTAATGATCAGACTGCCTCCATAGGATACACCATGGTCTATATATGCAATATTTGCCATATATATAGGGTAAATATTGCATATATAGACAATGGTGTATTACTATATATAGTACATATTGTAGCATAAGCCATGAAAAAGGTGGCAAAGATAAATGTGATATGATCCGTATAAACGGCAGACAGGAATAAATGAAAGCATTATAAACTATAGTGCTGTCAGTCAACTGTCCATAATAGTCAACAAGTAGAAATCAGAAGGCAGTGACAGTTTTTTAAATAGCATAATAGTTTAGCATACCAATAAAGTCCCCATTTGTATAAAATAAAACTGAAATTTAATAGAAATTGAAACATAAAGAGTAAATTTCTAGCCATATACAAATAGGTACAGCTCAAAATTGCAAAGCATTACAGCTTTTAATAAACAAAGTAAGTACAATAAGATTGATCCTTTGCTGCACACGCTGTTCTTCAAGGCATTGTGAAATCCATAGTAGATGCCATGTCGGCTATATTGCACTGGTTTACATTTCTCTTTATTCTTCCAAAACCATTTTCTCCCCAAGCTTCACCCCAACTAAATGATAAAATAATAAACATATTTATCAGTGATAATAATCACAATATTATTTATGGTTTATTCATAAAAGTCTTGTGTATTGAATAGAATCAGGATTTGTTATGATCTGATTTAACATCAGGTTAATATTTAAATACTTGCAAAAACAGTGCTTCTCAATTGAGCCTGAATGTTTTGAGCAGTTCTTTATCTGCTCTATGTTTCTTAGTGACCATTTTTCCTTTTTTATATTTGTTTATTGCTAAAGGTTTTATAATATTTCTGTTCTTTCTCCTTTTCTTTACATGTTCTGATATGGAATTGATTTCAAATAATTGTTAGTGCAATCTCAATCCTTTTGTTTGTATACATTTTTATACAATATTTATATATTTACACTGTACACTTAGGAGTGTGTAACTTAAAGGCACAATGCAACCGTATGCATGTGGTTTATCCTGCAAAATATAGACATTGTTAAATTGATAGCAGACATTGAGAACAATATTACAATATTCTCATTATTAGCATTCATATTATGTCCACATATTTTGCAGCACTTTTTAATGAGAGAATATTTAAGGCTGAACTTGATGGACGCAAGTCTCTTTTCAGCATGTAACTAATACTGTAATATAGCAATCACAAATGCTAAAAGGAAACAAGAGGTTATTGATGACCCTGCTCGATTAGTTCACAATCTAGAGTGGGTGAGTTATAAACACAAAAGAAGAAAGACAATATTTAGTATAAAGTTAGATAGGTGAGTTGAAGAGTTAAGAAAATATATATTTTTTCTCGATAAGCTTTTCAAATGTTTAAAATAATTGCTTCAAAATATTAAAATATAAAAACATTTCATATATAAATTATATATAAAAAATATTACCATATTAAAATGTATTTTAAAAAGATTTAATCTTTTTAAAAGTTCATCCAAAAATGTTAAATCATTTGACCAACTTATTCAAAAATATTAAATTGCAGACTATTTTAGAAGAGAAGGGGAATACATCTGTAAGGAATTCAAATAACTTAGGAAGGCTATAGGAAGGCTATATGCTTTCATCAGAAGATATGTTTAAAATGATTTCTTAAAGGATTGAAGACTAGGGAAAATCTGGAGGAAGGCAGTTTGATTCATAGGAAATCTTGTAGATGAGAATTAGCAGTACAGGTATGAACAGAGGACAGTGGAAGGTCACTGGCAGAGCGGAGGGATCGTGAATGGTGTACTTATCAATTAGCAACAACATTTAAAAAGTTAAAGTTGTAAAGAGCTTTGTATGAGAGTGTTAGAATCTTGAATTGATTCCCAATAGGTGCAAGGTATGTTCTCCTTTGATCCTCTTATAAACCCCAAACCTTACTTGATTACTTGTCCTTCATACTTGTTCAGTGCTAAACACACATTTCCACCCCAGTCTCTCTCTCTTCTGGTGTCATTCCGTAATTCTTCAAACATGTTCTCAATCTCATCCTTAAAGGGACAATGTAGGCACCCAGACCTCTTCAGCTAATTAAAGTGGTCTGGGTGCTGTATTCCTTTTGCACTTAGTGCTGCAATGTATAACATTGCAGTTCCACAGAATGTTTACATTGCAGCTCTAAGTTTGCCCTCTGTGGCTGTTTAACAGACAGCAACTGGGGGTGCTTCCAGATTCGTAACAAAGTTTTGGTCTGTTATCTAAAGCTGGATGTCCTCACGGACCTCCAGCATCAGATTTTCCCCATAGGAAGGCATTGAATATTGATTTCCTATGAAGAGGTCTAATGCGCGTGCTGCCATTGCCACGCCAGCTTGTAGGGAAGGAGTGTGGGTGGAACCTGACCCAGCACCGAGGGACTTTGGCGCTGGATTCAGGTAAGTATCTGAAGGGGTTTTGACCCCTTCAGCAACATGAGATGGGGGATGGGAGGGAGGGGGGTACTCCATGATCCTCTAGTGCCAGGAAAATGGGATTGTTTTCCTGTCACTGGAGAATCCCTTTAAACATCCGCCAATGAAACCCAACTACTCTGTCAACGTCTGTCTCAACTCTCCCCTTTTTGTATGCTAAATTCTTAACAGTCTTTATACCAATCAAAATAACATCTTGACTCTTGAGTTTGACTTAACATTTCAGTATAGCATTAGAATGTTTTGTCTCACGTGTACTTATATGTTTCTTTCTACAGAAATCAAGCTCAGGACCCCTTGAAAAGGAACCTCTTCTCCCTTTTTTTGTTGATCTTGACTTGTTGATCACACTTTGTTTGGGTTATTGTTTGCTTAGCATTTGTAAAATAAGCCTAAACATATTGAATCTCTACAGATAATAAACAGAATAAATATAATAATAAATATAAAATACAATGTATAATGTATTGTATGGAACAGGTGAACTCAAACATCACCCTCTTATTGCCAAGTTTAAAAATAAAAATTTTACATTTATAATAAAATTTTTACAAATGTTAATAATTTCTTACCTGTTCTTAATTATCCAGTAATCTTGCTCTTCTTCATCATCTTCACCCTTTTCACTCCCATAACCGACAATAATTACTGCATGATTTGGCTGTGCAGCACAAGCGCCATCATATATTCCTAAATTAAAATGTATGATTTTTCAATGATTGTATTTTTTAAATAGTACAACTGAGGTAATACTGGAATGGAATCTGTTATAATGTGTGATGCGTGTGAATCTAATAGATTTAGTTATTAATTGTAATGATACATACATTAAAGTGTCTGTCACCTCAAGCTTGCCTTTCTCCTATTGTTTTCTCTTCTCTCTCTATTACAAAGTTTGTTCTTTTCTTCATTCAGTAGGGACTACTTTGTCTTATATATTTTTTTCCCATGCCTTACAAATCTTGACAAAGGATGTGGAGCTTGCCTTATTGCTTCAGGTCCACCCTTTCTCAAGGTTGTCAAGCGTAAGAAAAATACATATGTTTTAAAGGAAAATAGATCAGAAATTAGAAACATAAAAACATAGAAACATAGACTGTGACGGCAGATAAGAACCATTCGGCCCATCTAGTCTGCCCAATTTTCTAAATACTTTCATTAGTCCTGGCCTTATCTTATAGTTAGGATAGCCTTATGCCTATCCCACGCATGCTTAAACTCCTTTACTGTGTTAACTTCTACCACTTCAGCTGGAAGGCTATTCCATGCATCCACTACCCTCTCAGTAAAGTTATACTTCCTGATATTATTTTTAAACCTTTGTCCCTCTAATTTAAGACTATGTCCTTTTGTTGTGGTAGTTTTTCTTCTTTTAAATGTAGTCTCCTCCTTTACTGTGTTGATTCCCTTTATGTATTTAAATGTTTCTATCATATCCCCCCTGTCTCGTCTTTCCTCCAAGCTATACATGTTAAGATCCTTTAACCTTTCCTGGTAAGTTTTATCCCGCAATCCATGAACCAGTTTAGTAGCCCTTCTCTGAACTCTCTCTAAGGTATCAATATCCTTCTGAAGATACGGTCTCCAAGTGAGGTCTCACCAGTGTTCTGTACAATGGCATGAGCACTTCCCTCTTTCTATTGCTAATACAACCAAGCATTCTGCTAGCATTTCCTGCTGCTCTATTACATTGTCTGCTTACCTTTAAGTCATCAGAAATAATCACCCCTAAATCCCTTTCCTCATATGTTGAGGTTAGAACTCTATCAAATATTCTGTACTCTGCCCTTGGGTTTTTACGTCCAAGATGCATTATCTTGCACTTATCCACATTAAAGGTCAGCTGCCACAACTCTGACCATTTTTCTAGTTTACCTAGTTTAACTAAGAAAAGAAGAACTGATTTTGAAAGAGGAAGAGAAAAAGAAAAAAATAGGAGGAAGGTAAGTTTGAGGAGACAGAGGAAATATAAAACAAACTAAAAATAATAAATTGTGATGTGTGTTATACTGTGAAATGTGTGTGAATATATTATAATTTGTAATATTAATAGTAATTACTAATTAGAACTAATACATTTGGGTTGAACTTATATATACACCCTGAGACAGAGGCATTCTCTAATTCTGATCACATTGACAGAGTCTAGGGACCACAGATCACTGTTAGATGGCATATACTTGTCTAGTAGACTATCGATCAAAAAAGCTAGTAGCTCTCAATATTTTTTTCTGTCTTGTTTGCAGGGGTTATTAAAGGTAAACCATTTTGTGTTTGTTTCAGTTATCTTCAATATCCATATCAATAATATCTATAAAAACTGTAATGGAATCATGGAGGTTCACTCATGAAGAAGACCTGCATTTTAGCTAGCCAAAGTTAATTGGAAGTCAAACACATTGAAGTCTGTGGTATATCAAGTCATGGTATATCAAGTCACTGTGGTATATCAAGTCATGATGAAAAGGCTGAAATGTGGAGTTGGTGACTCGAAAATTACACTTGGAGGAAACCCACGATGATCTAATTTTTTTTTTAGATATACTTCAATTTTAGAAGCTCATAAAAGCTTTCTATTCTTTTATCAATCAGTTTAGTGGGATCTGTAAGTGCTGATGTTTGCTGATTTTAGCTGCTAAGTGTATTGTAACATCTTATATGAGTGAGTGTAAATACTGGTTTGGTTTTTGTCTTCCAAAGACATGGCCTTTTAACCCCATATGACGATTAGTGAATGGAGACATTTGTAGGAGACAAAAAAAGAGCTTTGTTTAGACCTGATATCAATACAATTACCTAAATATAAAAGTTCCAATATCATGAACACAGTTAATGAACCCTCTATTTTGATGTTAACAGTTGCATTATTATGACTGTCAATGAATTACCTTCTTTATACAACTGAAATTCTTGAGTAGTTCCAATTCCAACTGTAATGGGTCCATTAAGTGCTACAGAAACTGCCATATTTTCTTCTCCAGGCAAAATATAGAATTTCGTCACATTCAGCATAATTGCTTTATCATTTTTATATGCACACGTAGCTTGCTAACCAGAAACAGGAAGAATTAATAAAAATACAATCAAATTAAAGAGTGATATCTGTAAGTATATTAAATAAATGGATTAACAATGTTGGCAATATCATTTCTTGCAATAGTCTGATGCTTTGGAGAAGAGGCAAATTGCGGCACATTCATAGCTGTGTACTATGATACTTGGTCAACCTACAGAATAAAGTAGTACAAGCTGATAAAAATAATGGGAGTCATAGTCAGACAGCCTCAGCCTGAATAGTTTTTCTGTGATAGGCTGCTTTCCATTAGAATATAGCTTGCATCCAAATTTGGTCAGCTGATTAAACTATTGTTGAGAAAACTTTGTTAATGTGCAGTGTGGTCTCCTAATTGGGATCTGCATGCTACTTTATCTGTTATACAATAAAGGCATTTGTGGATGAATAGTTATAAGCATGGCTAGTGTCTCCAGATGTTTAATATTAGAACCAACAAAATCAAATATTTTTATGTTAAGCCCATGAAGGTTCATTCTATCGAACTCCTAAAGGCCAATACTCAGAAATTATAACAAATTCAATCAAAACAATCTACATTTGGAGCACGGCTTAGAAACAAAACAATAGTGTAGCAAAAATATTATAAGTACATTAGTGACTTCCCAACACAGTGCTTGATTCTCTTAACATAGTAAATGTTTACTCTGCTTTTGGCAATTCCCCCTATTGCAGTTTATGGGACAGCTGCTATTCAGTGAGAAGAGTAAACCCTTACAATTAATAAGAGAATCCAATCCACAGTCTCTAATGCGCGCACACATAGTACGCGTTTAGACCGAAGAAAGGAGATTTAGTCTAAGGCAGTGATGGCTAACCTTGACACCATAAATTGTTTCCTGGACTACATTTCCCATGATGCCCAGCTAGCCTTAAAAGCTGGCTGAGCATCATGGGAAATGTAGTCCAGAAATAATTTATGGTGTCAAGGTTAGCCATCACTGGTCTAAGGCAAAGAAAAAATATTTTTTTTACAGTAAGAACAATAAGGATGTGGAAGTCGTTTAATCAGTCAGTACGGATGTTTAAACTGCAACTACAGCAACTAGATGCATACTTGCAAAAACAATTTTAAAGGATATAATATTTAAATTGTAGGGTAATAGCTTCTTGATACAAGGATAAATCTGATTGTAATTTCTGGGTTCAAGAAGGATTTTTCAAACTGGGTTTCTTCCCTTCTTTTGGATCAACAGCAAAAAACAGATATGAGGCTGAACTTGATGGATACGTGTCTCTTTACAGCCTATGTAACTATGTAAATAGCAAGTATTATCTAGCTTGTCTGCCACTGTACACGTTTGACTGGCAAAAAAAAAAAAAGGACATACCTTTTCTTCATACTCATAATCTTTGCTCCTCATGATACCATTGTGTGAAACATATGCAAGAGCGTTAACAGGTAATCCACCACAACAACCTTCATCTTCATCATCGCAATCCACAAGTTGTTGCTCACTTAGCACAGGTAGCTCATCTTTTTCAAGGCAGTAACGTGTTTCAAGAACGCCCACCTTAAAATGCAATTTCCATAAAGGATCATTATAAAATGTATTAAAATATGCAAAGAAATTGAACCATCGACACATTGTTATTACAAATAAATGAATCGATGAATGAAGAATGTGAATATACACAACATAATACGTGCGATGGTAAGGTTCCTAGCACTTGTTAGATCTGGGTATGGCAGCTGGTACTTCCCAAACCAGAATCTCTTCTATCTGGCAGTAAATAGGTGTAGGTCAGGAAAGGGTACAGGGTGTCCTCAAACTCATATGGTGGTGAGTCAGTACGGAAAATATGAGCACAGAAAACAGAATATAGTGTAGTATATTCTATAGGTGGTGAGGTAAAATAAAAACATCAATGTGTTTCACCCAAAGGAGCTTTTTCAAATGCCCCTTGAGTGAAACGCATTAGTGTTTTTATGTTATTGGTTTTATTATCTTTGTTTTTAATAAAACTAGTTTTTTACCTTACCTGGACCTTCCTGATTTTATCTCTGAAAATCTTATCCGGAGGAGTCACCTTCTGCCTCCTTGGTGGGGAGAAAACCACCTACGCTACTCAGGATTAAGCAAAAACCAAATTTTTCCTCTCCTTTTCTGAGTATATCTCCTTTTATTTTGCTTTTATAACAACAAAACAGAGAGCACTATTTTTCTGTTTTTATTCTCATTTTATGTATTTGGTGAATATCTGTGACACTGCAATATCGAGGGAAATACCCGGGAGCGCTCGACACTCTGATGCTTGACCCTGACCTACCATCTACAAGGAACAAGGTGAACTACATATCCACAGGCGGGGATCATACCGCCCAGGTTCATATATCTGGAGCTGAACATAAGCTGCAGAAAATTATAAGTGGCATTTCTCTTAGTTTACCTCAGCACCTATAGAATATACTACAATATAATCTGTTTTCTGTCCTCATATTTTCCATACTGACTCACCACCATACAAGTTTGAGGACAAGAAGGCGCTGCTTCCCTGTACCCTTTCCTGACCTATACACAACATAATGCTATATTTAAGATTTGTGCGTCTAGTAACACTATGAAAACAGACTTTACATAATATTTATAATTATATTGACTGGGGGTGGGGGATATGATAGAAACATTTAAATACATAAAGGGAATCAACACAGTAAAGGAGGAGACTATATTTAAAAGAAGGAGAACTACCACAACAAGATGACATAGTCTTAAATTAGAGGGGGCAAAGGTTTAAAAATAATATCAGGAAGTATTACTTTACTGAGAGGGTAGTGGATGCATGGAATAGCCTTCCAGCTGAAGTGGTAGAGGTTAACACAGTGAGGGAGTTTAAGCATGCGTGGGATAGGCATAAGCCTATCCTAGACTTAAGATAAGGCCAGGGACTGATTAAAAGTTTTCTTAAATATTGGGCAGACTAGATGGGCCGAATGGTTCTGATCTGCCGTCACATTCTATTTTTCTATGACTGGTTACTTTGAATTAAAAGATCAACTGTCACATTTGGGATGTTAATAGTTCTAAATTCAGTTTTCCCAGTAAATGCTATTGAAGTCTTCATTGGGTTGAGAAGGGCAAAGGAAATAAGTACAAAACACAATAAGAGGAACACAACAATCACTAGCAAATCTACATCCCATTGTAACAATTATGGTGTCAGAGGAGTTCTGTTGTCATCTCAAGTATAAAACGCCAAACCGTTTAAACATTGTTTTACACTTACCTGTGCTTTCAAAAAGGAAAACACAAATGTCAGTTTATTAAAGACAGAGACTAATTAATTGGCAGACAGTGCTCATGGTACCTAACTAGTAGAGAGGTGCTCACCATTCATTATCCCCTCCTGACAGTCCCATTAAGTAGCCAGGCAGAGCACTATACTTCTGATCTTTTTATTTTTTTTTTTTACAACAGCTGTCTGATTTGATAAGCATGTGGCTGATGTTAAATTACAAATAAAAAAACACTAATATCCACCTGCCTCCTCCATCAACTGCAGAGATCTGTGGCCAAAAGAGACCAACATCCACCAATAGCAGACCACTAGGCTTTAAAAAAAAAAAAAAAAAAAAAGTGAATAATATTAATTTGAAACAGAAAGGATAGCTAGAAAATTAGGATAAAAAGTTAACCTAATTCACAGCATTCAGTTCTGGGATATCTTTTTTGTTGTTGTTGTTGTTGATGAGGTCAATTAAAGTTTTTGACATTATACTGTATGCCTAATCTTGCCATGTTTCAAAAAAGGTCTAAAATATAAGCATAGAATCGAAATTGGCCAAATGTGTTGGGAATGCAGCTTCCTATAACTGGGAACATATTGTTACAATCATATCTGTTTTTGGGGGGATAACAGCAAAATAAAGTAAATACCAAGCACTCAATAAACCCTTCTGTAACAAACTATTTAATTCCCCTACTTTAACCCTTTGTGTCACTATACCCCACTCCCTCTAGCATGTAAGCTCATCGAGCAGGGCCCTCAACCCCCTCTGTTCCTGTACGTCAGTGGTCTGATCTCAATTATGTGTCTGTTAGTCCACCCATTGTACAGCGCTACGGAATTTGTTGGCGCTATATAAATAATAAAATAATAATAATAATAATAATAATAATAATAATAATGAAGCAACACTGTTTATATAGGGAATCCCTGTAGTGAACTCAGAGGAGCCCTCATTCCTGACCCCTGTCTTGTTGTTGGAATGAATCCATTAAGTTTTACCTACAAATGTTTCAGAGATAAAAAGTATCGAAATGGAGCCCTGGAAGTAAAAGCTGTTTCCAGTTGAGCAAAGGAAAAGATGCAAGCTGCTGAATTTAATTTTGAGTTACTTTGCACTGCAAAATAAAAGTTATTGCATATATTCACATGTATGCGAGGCAAATGGTTAATTTTATACACCCCTTTTCAGAATATTAAAGACATGGCATAATATTTTCTTCTATCTCAATGGCTAAGTGCACATCAATATATTGATGATGTTACCGTTGCAAATGCCCAACATGAGCCACAAAGACCTTGCTGTTTAATTTTAGTCACACATTTTGTTTTCCTATAGTCAACTTCATCTGGAATGTTGGCTGGTTTTCTGTAATAGTTCCGGGAATGGCCCAATGGTGTGAATTTCCCATTCAAGCGAAGGCAGCTCTGAGACTTAGATTCTTCTTCAGTCTAAAATAGGCATATATAAATAGTTTTATTGAATTTATTAAATAAGATGTCGAATAAGGAAAAAAAATGTAAAGATATATTTTGAATGCAAAGCACTTTAGCAAAGTAGAGCTTTGAAATAAGAAATATAGTAAACATAAAAATGCAGAAATAAATTTAACAATGTCATCCAAAAACAAGGTGCAAACATAACAAGTAAATATGACTTTTTAAGAGGCTGACCACAGGGCAATAGCTATATATATTAAGGTAAGGTCAAGTCATTATATTTCCCTGACTGTATGGAATCAGGGTTAAGCAATGTTTATCACTCCAGGTGTTATGGACTGCATCTACTATAAAGCTCTGACAGCCATGATGCTGGCAAAGCATCATGGGAGATGTAGTCCACAACATCTGGAGTGACGAAGGTTGCCTATCTTACCATTGGAGAAGAACAGGGATATCTCTGTATCTAAAACCTCTCAGAATATTTGAGGTAATTAGCTATGTGATCAATATAAGTTATAAAGTAAATTAATATACAAGTATATTAGGCATAACTTATATGAGTATAAAGTAAATTGATATATAAGAATATTAGGAAAGCACCGGGTGAATGCAGGCTCTCAAGAACCCACTCCTCGACATTAATACAAAATATATCATAAAATTAGAGAATTTTAGAAATATCCTAAAATTCCACTAGAGGGTGCTAGACAACAGGTATACAATAAGATAGTTATCGTGTAGCTTGTAAACATATTAAGTATGCTGAACCAGGAGAAACAATGATATTATAAAAAAATCCATGTTAAAAAGACCATTTATTTAGTTCAATAACACACATCTTTAAACAAATCAACACCTGAATAAACTACAAAAATAGAGGAAATATATACATTTAAAGAACACACTATATTCCATTAAGACGCCAAAAGTCCAGTACCCTTCACATATACTAAGTCCAAACTATGGTGGGAGCCCCACTGGTCGTGACTCATGGGTGCTCCTATACCTTATATAAATATGTAGAAGTGTGGATAAAGTGCCTCCTGAGGAAGTTGACCGCACTGTGACGAAACGCGTAGTGCAGCAAGCAACACTACACAAAGGACTTTTCAGCACATCCACTTTATCCACACTTCTACATGAGGTTTAGGAGCCTCCAGGAGTTGTGACCAGTGGGGCTCCTATCACAATTTGGACTTAGTATATGTGCATGGTACGGGACTTTGGCTTCTTAATGGAATATAGTGTGTGCTATAAATGTACAGCATTTTTTTTAAAGTTGTGTGTTGTTAAAGTAAATAAATTGTCTTTGAACCTGGATATTTTTTATCTCATTATTTCTCCTGCCAATGGGGGGTAGTATAATAATATATCAGTATAATAAATGGAGGAGTGTAATAATTTATCATAATCATGCCATGTTCATAAGAAAATGGAAACTTAATGAAAAATAGCATATCAGTTCCACTTTACATGGATCATTTTGCTACCATAATTGTTTCAAATTTGCGCGCTTACCATATCTGCAAATTGGTTCATTGCCAGTCTAAAATTTTTAAGACCTTGGTCGGCCAGCTTGTTGTGTTTCTGCACCTTATCCCATGTTGCCTCCCATGCTTTCCTGCGAAACAGCTCACTATCTGGTGTGACATATTTTTTGCCTGCCATAAAATATAACAATGAAAAGATCACAGCACAATTTATTATCTTTAAATAAATCTGTATATATATATATATATATATATATATATATATATATATATATATAAAATAATATATATATATATATATGTGTATCCCTAACATACTAGCAATGTTATAATTTATGTAACTGCAAAATATTCCTTAGCGCTTTACAATTATAGTAGATATAGGATATTTAGAGGTGTAGAAGGCCCTGTTCAAACAAGCTTACAATCTATGAAGATTTGAGGCAGGCAGGTAGTGTCAGGTGTCTTACTGGTAAGGTGGGATTCAAACCTGGGTTTCCTAATTCTAAGGCAGTGATAGGTACACAAGTGGTAGCGTAATACATTTTCTGTTTAAGAGCCATGAGAATGCAGACAACTTATATGTGAAATATTCACTAATAAATATTTTTTTTCAGGTCTATTATGATATATTCTGTTTCTGTTACAAATTCTTAAATGTATTGTTCTCCTTAAGCATAATGTATGCTGGGAAACATTTGGGAGAGAGCTTTCTCAGTAAAACTGTATATGTTTGCAAAATATTCCCATCTTACATGTAAGATCTAGACACAAATAAAGGCTTTATTTGGCAAATTAAATAAAAAAAACCTCAAAAAATGGATAAAGATTGACAATCTGAAATGCAATCAAATATGCAAAAGAATATAAAATTGGTTAATGCCCTACAAATAAACATAACACACTTTCTATTTATTTGATCTTGCTTATTTCATATTTGTAATATTATTGGACTTTTTTAACGCAAAAGCATTGTGTCTATCAATATATTTTGCAAGCATGAGTAAATTGAATCAGTTGCAAAGTAAAGACGAACGTGCGCAATTAGGGAAACCTGATTTTTATTTGCCCTTTGTGTTATAAAAAAAAAATACAAATAATATTCACTTCATAAAAATTGTTTCATAAATATCCTTTGAAATATTGCCTTTAAAATAAAAAAATAAAAAACAATTTTAATAATTTTGTTAAAATCTGTGTATATTTGCTGCTTGTTTTTAAGTTTGTAAATCAATTTGCATTATTAAGCAATTATTAGCATTTTTTTTGTATCTAGGCAGGTTAGATGGAGATTTCTTAAAGAGACATAGACACAGGGATAATATTACATCGAATTCGTATATGTGATAAATTAATTTGAGAATTTTCAGCCAATAATTTAAAATTTTGGGACACAAATAGAAGACGTGGAGTAATGTACCAATTTGACCGCAGTCTCTCCAGCATGTATTATTCTCGCTAAGTTGCATGTTAAAAAGTTTGGAAGGGGTTAGGTACCATCTATAAATTCATTTTTAATGGGATTCCTAATGGTTTGCACATTGAGTGATACCTTTTAACAATAATAAAAATTAATTCCACTCCTCTACGATGTATATCCCACCCAGCTCACTCTCCCACCTCAACATGTAATTAGTCTTATCACCTGCAAAAATATTTTAAAACAAGGAGATGCTTTGTTTCTGACCAGGATCTAATAAATAGATTTTTTCTAATTTTGTCATATCTAATTTCAACACGTTCGGATTCCTGATCGGAAAGAGGAACATGTTCTCTAATTGTTATCTTGAGTCTCTCATGTGTTGGGGCATCAAGTAGACTTAAATCAAATGTATCTTTTAATTGATCGAAAGGCAGAAGGCAATATATAAAAATTAAATGAGGTATCCTGGTATTTATATTTGTAACATAAAATATTAGCAACCTAGTAGCAATATCTTTTAACATGTCATATTTTTGTTAAAAACGGTAAACCAATGACAGGCAATTTAAAAAAAATTCTTATGTGACTCAAAAGTGCAGTTCAGTCATTGTGTGCTCTTTTGTAGTACCTCGACACGAGTGCCACCGTACACAATATTTATGTAAGCATATGTATATTGAGTTGACAAAATTTACCGTATTCGGATTTCCATAGGTTCCATTCTTGTTCAAGGAAATGTGCAGCTGAGGCACAGATGATAATGGCAGAGAAGACCAACAAGCTCTTACCAAAATGCATCCTAAAGGAAAACAAAGGAATAACTTAGCATGCAAGTTATTTTTTTGATAATTATATTAATTATCAGAAAATATAGTTCTTTTCATTTTTTTTCCCTTTAGATAGTAAGTAATACAAAACAGAACATACAACAATACATATACCGAATTGAACATTATATATGCATAAATGATTATGTTATCTAGCATTTCATAAATGAACATTTGGTGTGGACAACCAGTAGCCCTACAGAGTGTTGCTGTTGTACTTATGGAATCTTTTCTCCCTTCTTTCTCCTTTCCTTTCTTTTTCTCTCCCTTTCCCTTAGCTTGCTCCTTCTTTCTTTCCCCTTAAAATGAACTTACCAATAGATACATGATACATGAATTAAGATTAAAATTTAAAGTATAAAGGTTTAACTAGATTAAGGTTCCTAACCACTGAAGATATCTTTGTTCTATAGCTGAGCCTCCTCCTGCTTTCCATAGTTTATTGGTATTGAAGTTGAAGTAGCACCTGAGACCATTTAAGGACCTTTTGCTGCAGCCAAAATCTTGCTAGCACTACTTTTATAGCCATTATGAGTTGTATTATTAGATATCTTTTTGGTGAAGAAAATTTAGATAAATTGAAATGAAAACGAGCGGTCGTATAATCAAAAATCCTATCTTCCTGAATCAATCATAACATTTCTTTTGAAGCTCTTCAACATAGGGGTCTAATCAATGCACAATCCCACAAATGTTCTTAGAACAACCCACTTCACCCGCATGCAAGTTATATATTACACAGCACTCTGTATTTTGGAAAATAAACACCAAGAAGGCAGATATTATATAATGGCAGTTTCCCAGTCTTAAACTTACTTTCTAAATATTGCCTTGTGATATTATAATATTTTTCTGTTTAATGTACCTGTTAGTGGGCTTCCAAAAGACCTATAATGTTTTTTTCCTCTTGTTGAATCAACGGTTCTGCAAAGTTCAGTCTTTTTATACACTGGCCCCAATCAATAGAGCCCTTATTTACGTCATTATAACGCCATGCTAGTCTCAGATACGTTAGAACAGTTGCATCCATCATGTTCTGATAAGATTCTTTATTGATTTGATGTACATCTGGAAGGAAGTGAGGGATGAGTCAAAGTATATTTGACAGTGCACAATCAGTATTCCGTTTGCAAGTGGGGATGATAAGCTTTTAAATAATTTTCACAAATATGCAATTACTGAGAGTGGTGTAGAAAACAAAAACTAGTATATTCACAGCTGTGATATTAGATTTGTGAAAAAAGGAAGAGACAAAAAAACTTTAAAAAACTGCGTTGCAGTCTGTATACAAGTATTATTACAACTGGGTGATCTTGTCGTATAATTATAATTATTTGAAGTCATATGTTACCAAAAGCAATACTACAAAGCAAATAGCATTGAAAGAAAGCAAAGAAGCAAATAGGTGACAAACAACAACTTTTAGCTGGGACAGAAGGAGAAGAATGCACTTTTCCAATAAGATTTCAATTTAGAGGAGGTAAGAGCAAGTTCTTTGGTGACTGGGAGGTTTTTCCACTGTGCAAATCACAGTGAGAAGACGCTGGACATCCATAGGAAAGCATTGAAAAATGCTTTCCTATGGGAGGTTTGAATGCGCGTGCGGCTCTTGCCATGCAAGCGCATTCAGTGCTGACGTCGGAGGAGAATTCCCAGTGCTGAGGGAGCCTGGTGCTGGAGAAAGGTAAGTGTTTTAACCCCTTCAGCCCAGCGTGAGTGGGACCCTGAGGGTGTGGGGGACCTAAAGACCCTATAGTGCCAGGAAAACGAGTTTGTTTTCCTGGCACTATAGTGGTCCTTTAATGTCTCATAAACATAAATAGCTTGCATGTATATGTTTGCAATTGGTTTAGGGAAATTTTAGAGTCAAATTTGATGGGCATTCAGTTGTAATTTAAATAATAAAATTTCATTGATTAGCTGTCACAACAGTTCCATGCCTGTTACAACACAATGGCAGTACTCTAAATTCCAGCAATCATGTTGCAAATGTGGCATGTACTCGTTTAAATGATTGCTTATCTGGGGGGACTTGTAGACAGTCTTACTAGTAAGGCATCAAGTAATAGCCTGGTCTTGCCAATCACTGCAAATAGTCCCTACTTTGCTTCATACATTTTATGAGAAGGACAGAAAGGAAGAATAGATTAGGAGAGAGGAAGGGAAGAGAAATCAACAGCAGGAAAGTAGGTTTGGTGTGATCTACCCACTAAAAACGTTACTGATCTACAAACTGATTCATTTCTGGTGTGTAACATTTAGGTCCTTGCAATGCCAGCTGGGTTTTTTTCTGTACCAGGTCCCATGCGTCTTCCCATACTTTTCTGTGAAGCAACTCCTTCTTTTGTGTGCCAACAGTACAAAGTTGCTGTGGTGGGGTTTCTGTGAGGCAATAGGTATTTGTATCCATCCGAGTTAATGACCTGTTGTTGCAAAGCTCTAGATAAAAGATTATCAAATTCTTTTATGTAATCCTCAGTCAGATCAGAGGGGAGAATATTATAACCGGATTGATCATTCAGATGTGAAAAGCACATTTTGATGTAATTGTCCTGATTAAGTAATACGATGTTACCACCTTTGTCGGCGGGTTTTATAATGACATTATCCAACTCTCTTAGTTCTCTCAGAGCTTTGCGCTCATTAAAAGTCAAGTTGTTGGTAAAAGGCTTATCCATGGTATTTTCCAATTTCGCTTGTGGACATTTGAACAAAAAGGTCCACATGCGGAGTGTCTTTAAAATTGGGTATAAACCAACTTCGGGGTTTTAAGTTGGTTAAGGGCCTAGAGGGATTTTGTTCCTCCAGTAAATCGGTGAGTATTTTGGAAAATTTGTAGTTTTGAGTCAATAACCCAAGTTCATTTGCCATTTGGGAGTCTTTTTAAGAATGCATAAGGTTTAAGGCCAATTTTAGAGGAACTGTACATCAGTACATCTGTATGGTGCTCAAAGGCGGAAGGTGCTACTTTTACAGGGGACTAGACAAGATTTTCAATATATTGTTTAGTTGGTCAAGATATCAGGTGTATGCCACCTGATGTCTTGACCATCTGATATCTGAAACGCTCAAATTAAAACCTCGAAAAAAAGTTGGGTACTTTTAAAAGTTGGGTCCAAGTCTAATATTTGAAAATAGGTTATTTGGTTATTTGCCATGACAGTTTTTAGAGCACTTTTCTTGAACCAATCACATAGTGTGGCAAGATACTATTAAGAAGCCTTTTTAAATCATCTAATTGTCCAAGGTCAACAGTGTCTTCCCCCTTGATCAAATAAGCAACAGACATTAGCTTTTTTTTGTCTCACCACCAATAGAAGTATTATCTAAAAATGACTAACAATTAGATAAGTGGAAACAGTTGAATTTATCACAAGACTGATGGCTCATTGTTGATTTGGTGTCAAGCTGACAAACAAATGAGGGCAAAGATAACAAATTTACTTTTTTTTATAAACAGTTTTAATAATAAAAATGAGGAAGAAATATATATATATATATATATATATATATGTATATATATATATATATATACAAAATACAGAATCCAGCGCATTCGCTTATTCACTAAACAATGATTTCAAATCTTAGAGATTGTAATAGTTTTATTTAAAAACACCTCACCTAGGCAAAAAATGATGGGGGTTTAGTTACATTACATGATCATACATTGCATAAGCCTGCCAACTACGTCAAAGTACCCCATATTCGGCAGGTCCTATCCTAGTAGCAGCCTAATGCTTGCTCTAATGAGATTAATCCACTTACTTGGGAAATACTTCCTTACTGGGACTCTCTGCAAGTCAAGGCTAAATAGGGTCCTGGAATGAGGCACCTGTGACAGCGGGGGGTGCAAAACCAAGGAGTTGGCCTGGGACTCCCAAATAGATAAAAGAAACCAAGAGGGCTCCACTCACCTGAACATGCATACATTATAGGGTGCTGCTGGGGCCAAAATATACAAAATACACAATCCAGCGCACTCGCTTATTCACTAAACAATGATTTCAAATCTTAGAGATTGTAAGTGGATTAATCTCATAAGAGCAAGCATTAGGCTGCTACTAGGATAGGACCTGCCAAATATGGGGTTCTTTGACGTAGTTGGCAGGCTTATACAATGTATGATCATATAATGTAACTAAACCCCCATCATTTTTTGCCTAGGTGAGGTGTTTTAAATAAAACTATTACAATCTCTAAGATTTTAAATCATTGTTTAGTGAATAAGCGAGTGCGCTGGATTCTGTATCTTGTATATTTTGGCCCCAGCAGCACCCTATAATGTATGAATGTTCAGGTGAGTGCAGCCCCTCTTGGTTTCTTTTATCTTTATATATGGATTCCCTATATATAAGGGACAAGAACAGAGAGAGGCTGAGGAAGAGGGGAAAGAGAAGCACAAAGGGGCTGGTAGGACTCAGCCCCTATCCAACCCCACAAACTCTCTCTTACACAATGCTTCCCTATACATACACAGAAACACGCAATACATCCCTACACACACAGAAACACATCATGCTTCCCTTACACACAGAAACACACAATGCATCCCTTACACACACACAAACACACACTGTTTCTCTTACACACACAGAAACACAATGCATCTCTTACACACTCGATACACCCCTTACACACACTCAATGCACCCCTTACAGACACACATGCTGCATCCCTTAAATTCACAGAAACAAACTGTAACCGCGGCTGGTTCCACTATAACGTCTTAAAGCATAGAACTTAGTAGGGCTAACCATACAGATATCTTAGCTATAATTTTATATAGTTGGTGTAAGAGATCCTCTATTTAACATATATAAATAATTGAGAATACAATATAAAATAAGGATTGTCTTGGAAGCAATAGTTTTGTCTTTTTAGATATTTATTATTTAAAAATATAAATATAGACATATAAAATCCATTATAGTAGAGTTTATAAGATTAAACTAAATGCTTGCAAATATCATTAATAGGTTAGCATACACTTCTGAACATGTCATCATGTCAGCCTCTCTGTCATTTTAAGATGGAGCAGCGTCTGTCTGCAAGTCTCTACTCTGTTCCTTAACATTTTAAAAGTACACCTATTTATACCTTAGGTGTCTCCATTTTAGAGTTACCGTAGTTCATATATGAAAAAGTAACACTTCTTTTACTTTATTCATTTTAGGACCTCCCTTAATTTGGCAAACATACAAGGCCATAACTAAACGGTGCATTCGTCATGGAAATTTTCCTGACTTAGTTCAAGATGGCATCTTAAAGTCTGAACTTTCTTATCTACTAAGGTTACCACAGTATATTACGTACTGAAAGAGTCGTAGCATAGCCTTGAAGCTTGTTTATGCATTATTGTTATTGTAATTTGTCTGGGACAATATGGCGCAAACATTTTATGCACTGTAGGTAGGTAAGAGGTTATTGCTTAAAGAAACAGTTATGAAAAACAATATGCTCCATTTCTAACACCTTCTCAGTTTGCAATATCTCTTAAAGAAAAAGTACACAGTTTAAGAAATACAACATTTCATTCTAAAACTTGTAATATTTTAATTTGCCCATAACAACACCTTACATCCCTTACACATACAAACACAGATTCACACAATGCATCACTTACACACAAATAAAAATACACAATACATCCCTTACACACAAACACACACTGCTTTCTATTCCTTACACAAAAACACACTGCATCTACTACACACACACTGCTTCACCTACATAAACTGGTATCCCTATACACTACATTCCATAAGCACACACTTTAGATCCTCTACAATAACACATAACACATCCCCTACACACTCCATTCCCTGTGAGCAAACACATGGGTGAAACATGTAGGTGGACTTATGGGTGGGCATTATGGGCATGCTCACCATCAGGCCCTGGGACCCAGACCTTGAGCTGTATAAGGGGCCCCAAAAAATGGAGCTGCTTCCCGTTCTCCCAGGACATGATTTTTGTGACCACAGTTACAAACAGCCTCCAGAGAGCCTGTTCTACACCAGAGCCTGTTCTGCCACCAGAGCCCATCATCCTCATCTGGTTGTAAGTAGGCAATCTAGTATATTATTTGTGGCACTAATCTCTAATTCACCTCACATTAAAGGGACACTATAGTCTCCAGAACCACTGCAGCTTAATGTAGTGGTTCTGGTGTCTATAGCCTGATCTTTTTCAGAAGCTCCTCACTAAACCCAACCGCGTCCTGATATGACTCGGCTGCAACCTTAGCCTGTAAAGTCCCAATCAAAGACCATGAGAAACTGACGTTGAGAAAGTGAGGAACTGTCTTCATGTACCAGAAGGGAAACTGATCCCTTCAGTCGCCAAAGCAAGTATCTGGTAGTACTAGTGACCGGGCAAAAGGGGGACCCTGGAAAGGCATGCAAGGCACCACATTTTTTTTTTAATTTAAGCAGCTATTTATTGTACAGAAGTTTTGGTTAAACGTAACCAACAGAGCATGTACACTGATATTTCCTAAACAGCTTAACAAAGCACACAAAAAAATAATTTTTTATCCTTTCTTACTTTAAAAAACAAAACAAAATAAAAACCAAATATATATATATAAACAATTTCCAGTATATTCTTAATTAGAGGAGTCCCGGTGTTTTATCCAATTAATGATTCAGTAATCTCATATTTCATGACAAACTCATGGTTATATTAGTTATAATTCCTCACCCTATTCTATTCTCCTAACATTTTTTTTATTCTTTTTATTTATTTGTTGTTTTTTTCCATTTTCCTTTCCCCTTTTCCCTCTCCTCCTTTTTTATACTCTATCTTCCTTACTTATAAACACTATTTTTCATTCTTACTCTACCTTATGCTGTTATGAAAAACGACACATTTTTTAAACGTTATAATGACCCGTTTACATATAAATCTGCACATAACTCTTCTTTTTTTTAGGGCGTTATCCCATTCCATCCACCATAATCTATTTAGTTCTTTAGTAATGGCATGATAAATTGAAAACTCAAGTTCTTTTAGTTGGTTAACTTTTTTTATGTATTCAGCCAAATGTGGGCTGTATACTTTTTTTCCAGCAGGACATGATCAAGTCTTTGTCCACATTAATCAATCTCATTAATGAGTTCTTCAAAACTTCAATAGAAATTTCAGTGTGTAAAATTAGCACTAGATTAGGGAAAAGGTAAATATTTTATTCAGAAAACATGATTTGTTCTATCTTCTTCCAGAGAGTCCTAATTTTAGGGCAATTCCAGAATATATGAAATAAGTCCCCTTTATGTTTTTTACATCCCCAGCAGAGTTCCCTTTTAGAGACATAAAATTTATGAATGTCCGCAGGTGCTCTATACCACCGGACAAATAATCTTATATGATTGTTCTTGAAATTTCACAGCTTCAGAAATAGATTTACCCATAACTTAGCTAAGTATGGGAAATCTAACTGCTCTATTTTAGTCAATATTTTATATTTTTTGAGAGGGGAATTGTTACCACATCCTGCTGTTCACAAAAAGTTTCAAATGGGGAGTACTTTAACAGTAATTTAAAACTAGGCTCAATTGAGAAGATATAATGGTTTAATTGCGTATAGAAGAAAGAGAGCAAACCTTTATTAAATTCTGAGGGAGTTATCAATATATCCTGTAAGGGGAGAAGATCACCTGTCACTAGATTTATTATACTTCCTAGTTTAATATTTAAGGCCCGTTCCCTCATTTTTTTTTAA